AGAGAACTGCTTATCAAAGTTTGCATTGTTGTCAGGCCCCGCCCCACCCCCGCCGCCATGTTGTCCCCCCTTACCGATGTTAAAATCTGGTCACCCTATCCTACACCTTCCGTTAAGAGCTCCAGGAAATTAGCTGAATTTCTGGTAGAAGAATTCCTAGAAGCCATTCCCACATGAGAAGGACAAGAAGTTCCTTAATTAGATACAGATGTAGCTACAAAATACCTAGGTGTATCCCTTCATAACCAAAATTAATGCATCTCCAATTCAAATTCTCCTCAGCCAGACCCTAAAAATGTCTATCACCAGTCCAACGCCACCCAGCATAAGGGAAAGTACGATTGTCAGGCAATCTGCATGGAAAGCAGAAGCAGTCTTTTGCAAATTTCCCTGCAAAATAGGCTCATGTGATATGGAGGTTTAAAAAAGAGAAAAACATATTCTCACATGGGAAATGACACGGTGCAGTATTAAACTGAACACTGTGGGGTATTTATTGGTTTGGATAAAGTTCATGACTCTTTTCTCTTTTGATAACAATCCTAAAATGTTATTTGATAATCTTATTTCTCCTTTCTTACTTATTTTATTTCAAATAAGGCCTGATATGAACAAAGATAGGAAAGAAATCTTCTTTTTTTGATTTTCTACAAAGGAGCAAGAAATGCCTTGTATACAAATTTCAGAAGTAGAGTTAATTCTGGCGTGCAAAATAAAAAATTTCCTTTCTTATCATTTTCAAATATGGGGTTTCCGGATTCAAAATATTATAGTTTATTAGAAATGAGAGACAAATTAGAAGAGAATATTTTAAATAAATTTTAAAATATATGCCAATGGTTATTCTACAATACAAAATTATCTTACATTCATTTTCTGAAATGCCTTAAGTACAGACATTTATTTAGCATCTATTATGTTCTAGGTGTTTTGTTAGATGCTGGAGAGCCAGAGAGGATAATTAAGTAAGAAATGATAATAAATGAAACACATGTTATGTATTCTACCCTGACAGTCCTGATACTCCTTTTTAGACTACAGGGGTAAAGAAAAGAGTAGATAGTTCTACCTGAAGTAGAAGATAGTGGCTAGGAAAGCTTCGCCATGAAAGGGATGAATGAGTGAGCTGGGTCTTGAAAGTGAGTATTTTACTGATGGACAGTAGTTAGGGGGATATTTTAATTTAGGGGAAATTCTATAAAGAGAAAGTGGTTTTAAGGCAAAGTCTCAAGGGTGTTAAATAGTCAAGTGTCTTCCAGGAACCACAGATAATTCAGTGGGGCCATTGCCTTAAATATAAAAGAATAATTATTGGAAGATGGGGCTGGAAAGGAAGTCAGAGGTCAGATAAGGCTGCTTGTGATGTGAAGACAAAGGAGGACATCAGACACTAAGTTGGAGGGGGGGTGATAGGAGCCAGTCTGTACTTTGGAAAGGTTGAATGCTTTGTCTGTTTGGAATGCTTTTGGTTGCAAGTAACAAAAACCCCAGCTGAGAGCTGCTTAAACAGAGTTTATTTTTCACAAATAATAGGAAATAAGAACATAAGGACATAAGCTCCAGGGTTGCATCAGAGCTCAGGGCTGGCTTCACTGTGATGCTCTCTTTCTCCTCAAGACCATCTCCTGACGGCCACAGTAGGTACATGCCTCAGTCTTACATATCAACATCCTAGCCCAGGAACAGAAAAGGAGGGCTTCTCCTCACAGGGTTCCTTTCGTCAGGATGGAAAATGTTTCACATTCGCCTGCCAACAGACTTCCTCTAGGTCCCATTGTCCAGAACTGAGTCTCATCTGGTGGTTAAGCAACAGAAGAAAGTGGAAAAGAATGCCTGGTATTTTCTGGCAGCAAGCTCTGGCAACATAGAAACAAGAAAAAAAAATAGTTGTTGGATGGATGATCAACAGCGTTACCACTAAAAACAAAAACCATCACCTTGACTTAGTCAAGAGAGGATGGAAAGCTGAACTGAAGTGGTAGCATTATCAAGCAGGGAATTTCAGAACGCTTAGAGAAACAGTGCGGGTTAACAACTGTCAGCATCATCACCCCATATCGCCACAGGGGGTCTGATGTAAGATATCCATGAGAGACACCAGGACAAAGAATGCCAAAGATCAGCAATTTCCAGTGTTTTTCCCAAGAAATGTGAATCTTTTTTATTTTATTTTATTATTATTTTTTTTATTGTTGGAGATTCATTGAGGGTACAAGAAACCAGGTGACACTGATTGCATTTGTTAGGGAAAGTCCCTC